TGTCCACTAGTAATTAGAGGTGTGATATAGAATCTCCTATAATACAAATATCATCGGCAAAAGCAAGAATATTAAATTTCACGATGGGAATCTGAGCTAAACATTGTTTAGTCACTCTTTTTATGATATAGTTTGTAATAAAATTAAAAAGAAGAGGAGAAAGGACACATCCCTGTTTCAAACCTATCTTAACTGGTATTTTTGTTGATTTATGACCCGCATGGATAATTTGTATCGAGTAATCGTTATAGATATTTTTTAATATTTTTACCAATGAAGTTGGAGTATTAACTTCTTCTAATGCTATCCATAACCTATCATGATTAATCGTATCAAAAGCTTTCTTAAAATCAAGAGCAATAATTATTAATTGCCTTTTCCGTATTATAGATTTCTCCATTTGTATCTTTAAGTTGAGAATAGCTTCAAGAGCATTATGTCCCTTTCTAAATGAAACTATTGAATCCACATAATCTCGTTCTATAAAAGATTTGAGTCGATTTAGGATTAAGTTAGTGAAAATCTTATAAACTATAGAATTTAGTGAGATTCCTCTCCAATCCTCTAGAGTTTTAGGGTACTTAGTTTTTGGAAAATTAATTAGTATAGCTGATAGCCAATCACTAGGGCATATCCCTTCCTTCCATACTCTCGATATGATAGGGAATAGTATATCGGCGGATAATATAGGGTCCGTTTTTAAATATTCACTACGAATATTATCTTGACCACACGCCTTGTGATTTTTTAGTTTCTTTATTATATTTATTATTTCACTCTTAACAGGATCTATGATTCTATCTGTATTTTGGAATAAGGTAGAGGGGGAAGAATGTGTAGATAAAGATGTAGTATTATGGGTATTATCTTGAGGGAGAAATAATTGTGGGGACCAGAGGTACGAAGTGGATGGACCATGATGAATGGAAGACTCACTTTGGTTTGGTAAATGTAATAATTTAGATGGCAAGAGATCATAAGAAGAGGAGTTTTGAGGGCATAGATCCGAAGGCCATTTAGTAGGGTTCTGCTGAGGAGGCCAGGAGTTTGAGGAAGATGCATTTTGGACAATGGGAGATTCTAAATTTGAGTTGTATGTAGAATTAGATAAAAGATTTGAGATATAAGAATTTTGAGCGGGAAGGAATTGGGGAAGTCCACGGTTTAGCGGATTTGGAGGCCAGAAACTTGAGGTAGATGGACATTGATCAATGGGAGATATTACTATTTGGTTATTTGATGTAGAGGAGGGTTCGTTGCAATTATGCAATTTTATCATTTTCAACTGGAGGCAATGCAGGTGGTGGAAAGTTCATATTTACAATTAAGGAACGATTGAATACTAGACGCGTTCCCATAAAAAGATCCATGCATATGATCAAAAGAGCAATTGTATGAAAAGTTTCTCAACTTTCATTGAATTTCTTCCTCATTAAGCATATTTTTTTAAAATTCAAATTTAATGAATGGGTTCGTTGTTATTAAATATTTTAGAGTAATGTGAAACCCATATTTCCATTTGTATCTCTGGATCTGTGATTTCTTTTGCGTTGTGACTAAGTTTAAAAAATTGCTCTTTTTTGAAGGAAGTGAAGGATTTCAATAATTTAAAAGCTTTATATGAATCATTTGCACTGAACGAATTACTTATCTCAGTGGCACGATCCTCAAGGAATTTCCTCTTATCTCTTCTGAGTTTATGACTAATATCGTTTAGGATATACATGGCTCTGTTTCTCCTATAATGACCACTCCCCACTAGATTTGAAATAAGATTTTTTGATTCTATTGAGATCCAGTCCGGATAATTCATCTTGGCTGGTAAGGAATTTGATGCCGCATTGTTGAAAATGTCACGGGTATTTTCCCATAGTGTGTCCGAGGATAAGTTGTTAGTATGATTGATAAATTTATGAGAATTATTTCTGATTTGTTCTATATATTCAGTTTTGATATTGTGATCATTTAAAGCCTCGATATCTAATTTGGGACGTTTCGAAAGTGACTTTCCGTTTCTTTTCTTCCTCATATGCCATATCTTCGGGTCTATTACCATAGAGCAATCTATAATTTTATGGTCAGAGTTAAATAAAACCTGATAATGAACTTTAATATTTTTTATCCAGCTCATAGTCGACCTATTACAAATAAAATAGTCTATTTGAGACCAAGTATTGTATGTTGGGCTAAAATATGTGTATATCTCTCTTTTATCCGAATGTTCGAAGAAAGTATTAGCTATACGAAGATCTAACTTATGACAGAGTTTTAATAGTAGTTTTCCTCCAATATCGGATTTAATATTTAGTGTTCCTGAACCAAGGGAAATATGATTCTTTATATCGATTTTTCCTACTTTCGCATTAAAATCCTCAGCAATTAGTAAGTTTTCGCGTTTCGGAAATTTATTTAGATATTCGTCAAGAAAAATGAAGAATAGTTGTTTTTCAGTATAGTTCACTGGTATATAGATATTTACAATATTTAAGGTTTTACATCTCGTATTTACTTTTATGCTACATACCCTACTATTTACGCCGTCGAATTTTGAGATGTAGCCCGATAGATTCTTTTTGATCAATATACATACTCCACACCAGTTTTTTTCAGTTTCGCCCGAATTAAAGAGTAGGTAACCTTTGCAATTAATTTTACAAGTATCAATCCAATGTGTTTCTTGTATACAAGCAATGTCGACCGCTAGGGTGTCTAATATTATTCTTAGTTGGCAAATTTATTATTATTTAGGGATCTAGCATTTAGGGATATAATTCTTAGAGAACCAGAAAAATTGTTCATTGTAATGTTAGTAATTAAAAAATTAGAGCAATGATTTATATTACTAGATTAAAAATTTATTTAACGATTTATAAAACAAGATATCGGACAATATATGTTATCAAAATTACACTATATAAAATAAAGTTTTTCTGACAATTTATTTAACGATTTATAAAACTCGATTTCGACAAAAAAAATTTTTTTTTTAGACAACTTATCACTATTTATCAAGGCAATTTTTTTTTTGATAGCTTATTACTACAATTATATAGATTTTTTATCAAGATTTCTCTATAAAAAAATGGAATTTGAATTATCATAACAATTTCCGACAGCTACAACGATATAATATTTCCAAGAATTTTCCCTATTTCGTCTATTAATATCAGTTTTAGATATTAGTATTACAACGATATAATATCAAATTTGAGACAGGTTTCAACAGCACTAAAAGTGAGTAATAATAGAATTAAAATCATAAATCATACGAGAGAAAAAACTTGTAAATATAATAGATTTTTTATCAAGATTTCACTATAGAGAAAAAAAAAATTTTAATTATCAAATAATTTCCGACAGCTACAACAATGTAATATTTCCAAGATTTTTCCCTATTTCTTCTATTAATGTCAGTTTTAGATATTAATATTTCACGATATAATATCAAATTTGAGACAAGTTTCAACAGCACTAAAAGAGAGTAATAATAGAAGAAAATCATAAATCATACGAGAGAAAAAAACTTGTAAATCTGTTGTATATATAAGAATTGATAAAAGTAATTAATCTTTTGAGAAAAGTTTCGAGAATTTTAACGAAATACTAGGAATATTAAATTTAAAAGTTATAATAGTATATAAATTAACAGAAGGTAAAATTAAAGAAAATAATAATATATATAAAATAAATAAAATAAAAAAATAAATAAAGAATAAAATATAAAAATCTAGGAATAATTGTAATTTAAAAGTTTGACGTTACTTAATAATATATAAATTAATAGTATTTAAATTAATCGAAGATAAAATTAAAGAAAATAATAATATATATAAAATAAATAGAATAAGAATAAAATTATTTCCGATTTATTTTGTTAAAATATAAAATATACATAAAATAAAACTAACATTTGATTTATTTTGTTAAAAGAAAAGAAAAAAACAAATGTTGTTTAAAAAGTTTGAGATTATCAAAGCGTTTAATAAATCATCTTATTATTCAAAGAGATAACATAGTGATTACCTTATCATCGTATTATCCAAAGATTTAACATAGTGATTACCTTAAATAGTGATTACCTAAAAAATTACTTAGTGTGAATTTTTGTAAAAAACAATGTTATTTAAAAAATTTAAATAAAGATTATCAAAGTGTTTTTTGTTAAAAGAAAACAAATGTTATTTAATAAGTTTAAAATAGAGATTATCAAAGTGTTTAATATGATCATCGTATTATCTAAAGAGTTAACATAGTGATTACCTTAAACAGTTATTACCCAAAAATTATTTAGTATGAATTTATTACCAGTATACAATGAAAAAGCAATAAAGTTATATATTACTTCAATTTATGTTTAATTTATTTCTCGCTTTATAATATCTAGATTACTCTCTTATTATATGTTTAATTTGTTTCTCACTTTATAATATCTAGTTTACTCTCTTATTATGTTTATTATTATTTAATAAATCTTGTTCTTATCGGTTATTTACCAGATAACAAAATAGAATGCAATTTATTACTTTATTTATATGTAAGAAATAAATAAAATATTACTAAATTAGTATAAATTATCTACTATTATATATCTATTTAATTAGCATAAGAGTTTAACTTATATCTTTTTTGTTAGAATTTTTATCCTTCAATATGCTAGGTTTGAATTTTAAAATCTTCAATAAGCCAAGTATCTAACACGTAACATCATATAATATAATATAATGTGAAATTCCCAGTATAAATTTGTAAAATATATTAATATTTTATTTATATATAAGAAATAAATAAAAAATTGTTTGTACTAATTTATTGTTCAAACTCTACCTAGTATAATTTATCTACTGTTTAGCTAGTTATATATCTATTTAATTAACACAAGGAATTAATTTATATCTTGATTTTTATGAATTTTAATTCATCAATAAGCCAAGTTTGAATTATATCAATTCTAAGCCAAGTACCTAACACTTAATTCTCTTATAATGTAATAATTTCCAGTATAAATTTTAAAATACAGTACCTAACACTTAATTCTCTTATAATGTAATAATTTCCAGTATAAATTTTAAAAATACACTAATTATTCCACCTACATATTATGATATAAATAGTAGCGTAATAATTTCCAGTATAAATTTTAAAATATACTAATTATTTCACCTACTATGTAATTAGAATTATTTTAATTTATTTTAAAAATTAATATGTTTGAGCTATTAGAATTAATTAGTGCAATTTTTGAAATCAAATTACTTAAGCTCTTAAAATAATTATAAGAAAGTATTTATGTTAAGTATTTATGTTATGTTTAGCTATTAGAATTATTTAGTTAATTTTTGAAATCCAATTAGTTAGGTTCTTAAAAAATTATAAGAGAGTATTTATGTTTAAGCTACTTGAGTTATTAGTGTAATTGGGGAGTTATCAAATTGCTAGACTCTTAAAATAATTTTATGAAAGTATTATTTAATAGTTAAACCAAATTGTATGTGGATAATACAGCAAATAGGAATAATGTCATAGAAGTAGAGTATATATAATAATATTAATGTAATAATAAGACTTATCTTTTTCCTTATCTTGAAATGGAATTTATTGAAAGATATATCATGAATCATAATCAGGTATTAATATCTGTAGTGGAATTCCCATAAAATAGTCTGAATCCAATATGTATGAAAAATTCCATATTATATATTCTTCAATCAGATTTTTGTTGGATTGATCTGATGCTGTTGTGGCCATAATTGGATATGTGAAATCAAAATCAAGATCTCTTTTAATGCAATTTTATCATTATTATTGCTAATAGTATATATTCATTATAGATGTGTTTGAATCTATTGAAAATAAAAGATAATCAAAATATAAATTGTAAGCAATATTTGAACTATAAACATATCTATGCCTTCCAGGATTGAATCAATAAGCGGCTTACAAAACTTGAAATTATTAAAGCCATTTTTTTAAGTTTTAATATTATAATAGTTATGGTGGGAGTGAGATATTCCAAATACATTTTTTTCCCTCTCTAAAATTAAAAGAGCCGTAGCAATCGGATCCATAACCTATAAAAACATATATATACATATCATATTTCTTAATTAGCACTAACCATACAATATTCATACATGAACAACTTGTCGTTATCTGAAAATCCCTATAATTCAGATTTATCACATGATTCGTCAAATTTTCAATTCTCCTTAATAAGACTATCTATTAATTACACGGAGTTATAAAAAGTGTTCCATCTTGTTATAACCTGTTTAATCAGATATATTTCGCTGCACAGTTCGAAGATTTCCCATGTTTATTCCACAATAGCTTACACTTTGAAAATGCAATTTTCGAAGTAGTTTTAAAATGGAATCGTTACTGTCAACACTTGTAATGAGATTTAAAGTGAGTGCTGAACACGAATGATTCTTAGTACAATACTATCATTAGTATTTTGATTTTCAAATAGATCAAATAATTTTAGAGGTACTATTTCATCATCCGATTCTTCTCCTTGTTTATATACTCTAATAAATTTTTAATAAATTATAATTTTTTTTACTTGAAATCTTTTATATAATTTCTAGCATTGTCGGTAATACATTTGATCACTTTATTTTGTATCTTATATGTGGTAAAAATTTCAAAGATTATTTTTGTTAGATAATCAAATGTGTTTTTGGTTTAACTATTACAAGCTAATCAGGCTGAAACCCCTCAAGAGTATCTGGGTGTAACCAGTGTACCGTCATTCCTAAATAAGAACCTTCTTAAAGGACAATATTATCAATCTAAAAAATATATTTTATATACCGATGATAAGCTGACCAAGAATCCACAGTTGTACAGACAATTTTTGGGATACACAATAAATCCACTAATTACTTTGCCATGTTGTCATATGCTTTGTTAATTTTTAATACTAGAGTAGGCCTAGACGTCGCATTTTTAGTTGGCTGCAATTTTTTGATAATATTAATAAATGCAGTGCTTTCTACAATTGAAAATGGTTGTAATTCTTCAATTACAAAATTAAAAATAATTCATCAACAGCTGATTGTGCTATTTTTATCTTTGCTGTAGATGGATTCTACATCTCAATGAGTGAGTTGATTGGCTTCAATTTTATTTATTACTATTCAAATGTTCAATATTTTCTTTTATTTGTAAGGAACGTACAGTCAATAATTTTTAATTAAAATATTATTAATTCCTCAATTTTTTTTTTAAAATAACTTAACTTTTTCAATAATTGAAGATAAATCTTTTAAAAATTTAATTGCATTTTTTAATCCTTCACTAAGCTTATTGTCAAGGAAAACATTAAAAATTGAAATTATGATTGCCAAAGATAATTTTTCAATATATTATCTTTTTCAGAATTATCATAAAAAGGAATCAGGAAAAATATCTAGTTCATTTCTCTAAAACAATATTGCTTCATAGTTTTATTCCATACTCAATCTAATATTTTGTTAATCTTGGGTTTTAATGTTGGTTCCCAACCCTATACTATAGTATAATTTTATTGCATATTTAAATTCATGATTAATCTTTTCAAAATATTTTGAGAGAATACTTCTTTTAATGGTTATTTTATCATACCCATGATTTAATATTCTATTATTAAAGTAATGTTTAAAATAATAATATATTAGTTCATCTTTTTACCTACATATGCTTTTTTAAGTTTGATGGATAGAGATCACAAATATCCGGGATCATCACAGGGTTTAAAGGGATCCCTTAAAGAATTTAATTTTTTAAACGTTTGAACCATCATAAAGAAAAATCTTAATTTAAAACGCGTTTTATCGCGTTTTGCTTTATTTTTTTTTAAATTTTATTGTTATTTATTTATTTTCAAAGTTTTTTAGGGGGCTTATGAAAGTAGATATCTAAAACAAAATATCGATATGGGTATCAAATAAAAGCTAATTTAAATATCTTTTGACGGAAAGCGTTCAATATATTGGTCTTGTTGGGTAGGAGGGTGGGTGATAAAAAATAAAAGATATTGATATGGGTATCAAATAAAAGATAATTAAAAATTTTTTTTATTGTAATAATAATAATCATTCAAAGTGGGCGGGTCTAGGACTTGGAGGGGTCAGAAATATTTTTCATCATAAAATATCGATATGGGTATCAAATAATAGCTAATTTAACTATCTTTTTTTTTGAAAGTATTCATTCTTGGTTTTGGGCATGACTTGGTCTAAGGGGTGGATAGAGGGGGAGGGTAAATTATTTATTTTGATATGGGCATCAAATAAAAGGTAATTAAAATATTTTTTATTGTAATAATAATAATCACTTATAGCGGGAGGGTATAGGTCATGGGGGGTCAGGTATTGTTATCAACAAAAATATTGATATGGGTATCAAATAAAAGCTAATTTAAATATCTTTTGATGGAAAGTATTTATTCTTGGTCTTGAGTGGTAGGACTTGGTCTAGATGGCAAATAGAAGAGGGGAGGAAGTAAAAATATTTTTTTGATATAGATATCAAATAAAAGGTAATTAAAATATTTTTTTATTGTAGTAATAATAATCACACAAATTGGGTGGATCTAGGCCCTGGAGGGATCAGGAATATTTTTCAACATAAAATATCGATATTAGTACCAAATAAAAGTTAATTTAAATATCTTTTGACTGAAAGTATTCATTCTTGGTTTTGATGTGTAGGACATGGCCGGGGAGGGGGGGGGGTGGGGGGGGGTTTAAAATATTTTTTTCTTGATATGGGTATCAAATAAAAGGTAATTAAATTATTTTTTATTGTAATAATAATTATCACTCTAAGTGGGTAGATCTACGTCATGAGAGGTCAGGAATATTTTTTAAACACAAAATAACGATATGGGTATCAAATAAAAGGTAATTGAAATCTTTTGAGTAATAATAACTATCACTCTAAGTGGGCGGGTTTAGATCATGGGGGGGGCAGTATTTTTATAAACACAAAATAACGATATGGGCATCAAATAAGAGGTTTAAAATATCTTTTGATTGTAATAATAATTATCACTCAAAGTGGGCGGGTCTAGGCCCTTGGGGTCAGGAATATTTTTATCAACATAAAATATAGATATGGGTATCAAATAAAATTGAATTTAAATATCTTTTGATTGTAATAATTATACTATAAGTAAGCATTTTATACCAAGCTCATCATATAATGTCAATGAATTGATAATTTATTTTTATTCTGATGAAAGTAATTAAATTAATGAATACTTTACTAACTCTAGCTTACTAATTTAACTCTTCATTTTTATATATTTTTTAAACCAGATTTCACCATAGTTTCTAATCCGGCATGCACAAATACCTTATAACGCTTTATAACCATAATAGTTCTTAATGAACCTGAGGGTATAATGATTGCTCAAAAAATAAAAATGGGAAATTCCTATGAATCATTTTACAATATTAAATATATTCTTTCGGAGAGAAAGAAATATAAAATAGGCAACACAATGCAATGGCAAGATAAAAATACCACAAACTCAATAGGCATTAGAATAGAAAATATTTTAGCTAGATTGCCTTCGTTTATTGTCTATTTAATTGATAGGAATAAGAGAGACAATACAAAAATAAAATTAAAAAAATAAAATTATTCATTGGGGATCACTTATTGATCCTAATAAATAAAAATGTAGATCAAATCTATGCCTCTAAATATTGAAGCCAACATTATCCAAATGGGAGTCGAGAAACTATGGGTTGGAACTAATTTGGGAAAAATTGATTCCCCATTTTTAAAAATGAACGTTCACAAATCAATAAAGTTAAACAATTTAACCATTCCTAATAAGACCATCTCCATAATGGCAGCATCAAGAAGTGCATCTTCTATTGTAAATCAATTTACAATTGCCAAAAAAAGTTGCAACAATAAGAGATGCCAATGTTTTAAAAATGGCATGATTATATGGCTTGAAAAAATATATAATAGGGATGATTTGATTGTAAAGAAGTGTAATAATTTAAACTGGGATAATTATAAAATTTGTGAATCGATTGTTTCAAATATAGCCTCCAGAAATTTTGAGATTTTACATATTAGATTAAGTTGAAAGAAAATAATTTTAACATAAGGTTACAATAAATTTTTAAAAGGCATTTACTATATTGAAGCCTAAATATGTTTTATTTAACTTTTATTTGATACCCGTATTGATGTTTTTTGATAATAATAAATTCATGACATCTTAACACGCCCACTTAACGTGATAAAATTGATATATTCAAAAGATTTTTTAATTCTTTTTAGTTGATACCCATATCAATTTTCATAAACTCCCCCACCCCCATTCCCCGTTAAGTCCAACCTTTTAAGATAAGAGTAAATACTTTAAGTCATACGATATTTAAATATTTTGTGTTCATAAAAATATTCCTGAACACATAAGACCTAGATCCACCCACTTAGAGTGATAATTATCATTACAGTCAAAAGATATTCAAATTAGCTTTTATTTGATACCCATATCTATATTTTGTGTTGATAAAAATATTCCTGACTGCCGAGACCTAGATGAGCCCATTAATGGTGAAATGTTGACCTCTAGTTAAAAAGATCTTTTGATTAACTATCGATTGATACCCTATATTCAACATATATACTTTCATAAGCCCCCATAGAATTTTTAAAAAATAAAGCTAAACGCGCGTAAAACGTGTTTTAAATTAAGATTCTTCTTTATCATGGTTCAAACGTGATAATACCGTATAGTTCTTTATCCTTTAAAAAATTAAATTCTTAAAGGGATCACTTTGAAACCCGTGATGATCCCGGATAGTTCTGATCCCTTTAAAAATTACGACACATATATTAAAATAATCATAATAATTTAATAAGTCAAATACAAAAATCTAAAATAAATTATCATGATACTTATAATTATATTATATAAAATATCTATTTAAATAGGAATTTGGAGATTTTGAAGGTATTATACTTTTTGGACACATTTTACATTTGGTCAAGATAAAATTAGTTTATTGAATATTGTATTATGTAATGTTTATTATATTTGAGCCATGGAAATGTTAATTCATCTGATTCTTTTAGAATTAGATGATGATAATGTAATAAGAAGATCGATGCTTACGCTAACTATAAAATATAAATAATAATCAAATTAATAAACTATACTATAGGACAGAAATAGTGGGTGATTAAAAAAAAATCAAATAAAAAAATAACTCTTTTTCTTAAAAATTTTAGAAATATTAAATTCTTATTTTTTAAAATAAAAGGAACGTCTTCATCATTTTTTACAAAAAAAAAGCAATGTTCACGGACGCGTTCAATTTGGACGCGTTCGTTTACAACATTAGTTATTTTCATACCTATATTTTAATGTCTAAAATCAAATTTATAAGATAAATTGTTTAAATTAAAAATGTAATAGGTTGAAATTTAAAAATATAATTATTTAAATCTAAATATTATAGGATATATCTCAAAGGGGGGGAAACAGAGAAACCTCCTTAGGGAATTTGGCTGATCTCGTAATTTAAGCCAAAAACTCCCCCCCCCCCCTCCCACCATCTTTCCTTAAAAATGAATACAATGTATCACTATAAACAAGAATCTGAAAGAAAAATTAGTAAAAGTTAATAGTTTTTTAAAATAACGACGATCCAATCCAAATTTTTAGAAAAAAAAGAAGTGAAAAACTAAAATTATTTATAAAAATATAACATAGCTAAAGGTAAACAATAAGTAGACTGACTTAAAGACTACTAATAAATTTATAATGGAAAAACCCATCTAGAGTACCACCCACCCCTCTCAACAAAAACTATTAAATATTAAATAAAATAAAATAATTATTAAATATTATTTTATGAAAAACACAGTTAAAAAAATTAAGGAGAGGATATGATGGGAAAGAACATCTATGGGAGCTCAGGAAAGAG